TCATGCTCGTTAGGTTCATGGACGTGGTGTGCTAACAGTATTTTTTTTTTTTTTATTTATGTGGGGTGTTCGGGCTAGCTTGCGCACACCACGACTAATTCTCACGGCCCACTGAATACCTTGCAAACTCAGTAGGCATGTAAGACACCACAAAGATGACAGACGTGCACGCCAGGACTCGAATCCATGTGTAGTAGAAGGAGACAAGTCCTTTCCACCGCTAGATCAAGCCCCTCGATGTATGTGCTAACAGTATTATTTTGGAGAGTTGCTTCCTACTATGACGATATTTATAAGGTCGAATATGGATTTATATCGGTTACCACAGTTATTATGAATGGTGTGTGTGTTATAGCTACATGTTTGATGATGGATACATTGTATTAGAATATTTTTTTTAATTTTTAATATTAGTATATCATCTAGAAATAAAAAAGAAAAATTGATAGTTTTTATATAAAAAACAAATGCTTTGAAAAACATGTAATAACATAAAAATAAAAATTCTTAACCCCATACAGTGATTTGAACTCTAGTGTATAATTTTTTTCTATTTAAACAGTAGCTTAGCTGTGGAGATGCAATAAACAATAATAATAAAAACTGGACAAATTAGAAGTAAAAAAAAATTCAAACATAGATTTTGGTTTTAAAGAGACTTTATCCAGTTTTTTTAAAAAAACAAAATCATGAAGGGTCGATGTCAAAACTTATATTTTATGTTATCTTAAGGCAAATTGTAATGTGCCCCCGAGAATGTACTGAAAGCCTAGTTCTTCACTTACAGATAAAATTAATTTATATCCAGCACCTAGCATTGAATTGCTGGAATAGCTCAGTTGGCTAGAGCGTGTGGCTGTTACCCACAAGGTCGGAGGTTCAAGCCCTCCTTCTAGCGTATGTCGATCTATTTTTAATTCTCGCTTTTCCACAACAAGATTACCATCATCAACCTGTTGTTGAATTTGTCTTGAAGTTTTTAATGTTAATATAATTTGTTCATGTTTCACACACACATAAATACGGAAAAATACATTAATACATATTTCTAAGTGTTTGCATAAAAAAACGATAAATTCATAATTATCGCTTTCATTGAGATTAATGTGGGTGTTTCATGAAATCTCGTCTCTGTCTGCCCACATCCTCTGTTCATGACTATTGCAGTGTCCTTCTCTTTTCTTTCTGCTTTTCTAGTCCTCTGTTCATGACTATTCATTCTTCTCTAGTCCCTTTGACATTAGAATTATTATCTAGTTCCCACAGTAAATCTCTATTCCCTTTGACGATAGAATTATTATCTAGTTCCCACAGTAAATCTTAATTCAAGTTATTAAGTGAAAGATTTCTGAAAATCAGTGATTTGCCTATTTTTATATTGTTAAATTAAAAAATCTCTTAACAACAATAAGAAATGTCAAAGAAAACGATAAGACTATCGATCAAAATGAAAATGAAAACCCACAATGTAACTATGTGAGTGAGGATTTGAAAAACTAAGTTGCAAAAAGAAAAGAAGATGAGAAAGAAGAATTAATTCTATTATAGTATTTGAAAATGATAATAGCATTTGGAAATTAAGTTTAATCCTTAGCCTGGAAATCCAGATTTTACACAATAGCATTTGGAAATTAAGTTTAAAGGAATCCTTAGCCTGGAAATCCAGATTTTACAATATCCTCGCTTAAAAAAGAAAAGAGAGGTGCTAGTTTTTTTCACTTGACAAAAACTCGAACGTGCTAGAATCCATAAATATTGTTGTAAGACCTCGTGATTTTAATCCAGAAAATACTGATAGCTGTGCAGTTTTTCCTTTTTTTTTTCTTTTTTATACAAGTATCTGTAGAATGTCTGGACAGCATGTTGTATTCAAGAAAGAAACTCCAAGATTCTGCAAATCGTTGCGGGTTTAAGCACTGTTTAGAATAGTGTGGAATGAGGATGATTATTTTCCGTTACATTTAATTTGTATTAAAAAAGATAATTAAACTATTTTTTTAAATAAAAAATCAATACTAATTCAAACTAACTATTTTTAATTTAATTTGGTTATATTTATTTTTATTTTTGATTTGGCTCGATTTTTACTATTTTCTTTAATTTACTTTTATTTTTTCAATTTGACTTGGTTTTTTTATTTAGATTTGATTTGCTTTTTTAGGTTTTAAGTTTATAAAACCAAACCAGTTAATTTAAAAAAAAATCTAATTAGTTTTTTTATAGTTCTAATTTTTTATGATTTTATCAATTTAATTAATTTTTCGTTTTTTCGTTTTCCTCCCAAGTTAAATGAAAACAAAAGAATGAGGGGCCTATCTGTATCAAGCCCATTTAATTGTAACCTTAATTGATTGTGAAGTCCATGGTACAGAGCTCAGTAACAATGGGCTTTGTAGTCACGGCCTCATCGATTTTTGTGACGGCTTTTCTTTTGCAAAAAAGGCCTGTAATTCAGTAGATGAATAGAGCCTCCCCCCTCTCCAACGCCAATCGAAACCTTGAGCGAGGTCTAGACTAAGCTTGCGCCACAATGCCCACATTGCCATTCTCTTTTCATTGTTTCTGGTGTCTGTTTTTTGTTGTTTTAATAAGAAATGCATGAGGACTCGACAACGAGGTTGTGATCTTAGCATTAGAGGAAAAGACAACTTTTTTTTCCCTGACGAAATGGTGCGGGATCAGTATTGTTCTGTGATCTAAATGCTCACTAACCCAAAAATAAGAAAAAAAACAGTTTGATCCGTAATTGAATGCAACTGCAAGCTGACTTCAGCTATGCCTTTTCCAGAATTAAGTGAAGATCAGTATGTGCAATAGCTATTGCTTCTAATACAAAATAAATCCATGTAAATTGATGCTTTTTTGCAACCAAGATTGTCATCGAACCAATTCAATTTAATAATTTAAATTGTTTATATTATTTTTTAATATTTAATATTAAGTAAAGTTTTTTAATCTTAAAACTTACATGTATTTATTTTATTTTATATTTAATTTTTATTAAATAAATAAAAATAATAAGATTCTAAACATAACAGCTTAAAAAAGACCCTGACTCAACACATTTACTTACTCTCTTCAATGCATTCTTCCCGATTTCCAATTTCTCACATGGAAATCATTGCTTCGTTGACTTTTCCTCGAGCATGGTTCATCCACTTTCTTCGTCTGATCTGTTGCCTCGTATGTTTTTCCTGCTTTAGTAGTGGGCAAGTGTATGATGACCCTTTCACCTTTAAGGAGACTTCGGTAACCGGCCACCAGGTTATCGTTCAGTCACTTTTGCCTTTCGGTGTACACGACATTCTTTGTTGGTGCCTTTGTGGCAGAGGCTAACCCTACGTAATTGCTTCAGTTTTTAAGCACTTTTGTAATTTTTTTTTATTTGTTTTAATTAACATGGGTGTCCGGGCTAGCTTGCACGTATCACGACTAATTCCACAGGCCCTGAAGTTAACGACGACATTCTTTGTTGGTGCCTTTGTGGCAGAGGCTAACCCTACGTAATTGCTTCAGTTTTTAAGCACTTTTGTAATTTTTTTTTATTTGTTTTAATTAACATGGGTGTCCGGGCTAGCTTGCACGTATCACGACTAATTCCACAGGCCCTGAAGTTAACGACCATATAAGTCTCCAGTGGCCATCATATAAGCAACCAAGGACTCGAACTTGAAACCATAAAGGGAGCAAATCCCTTAATTCCAAGTTCTTACCACTTAACCATCACCTAAATGGTTACACTTTTGTAATTTCTTCCCACTTGTTTACATGGTGCTCTCAGTTTGAATCACTGTTTGCGTGCTATGGGTTTGAACAAAGAAGCACGAGCCTACAATATTTGATGAATGATACGTTGAACTTGACTTAGGCCCTTCCAAAGTAATCATATTGATGAAGGGATTTGTTTGAAGGGATTGTTTGCTAATCTTGCCAGTTTCACAACACAAGTTCATTGACTACAGCTGTTTGCTAATCTTGCCAATTTCACAACACAAGTTCATTGACTACAGCTGGTGCATGAAATTCCAGCTTGTCATGTATACAAGGATCTTTCTTGCAGCGCTGAATCAGGAGCCTTACAGCTGGTATCATCCTCCTCTTCATGGACTAGTTCAGTTGATTGTGGTTTGTCGCTTTGGGTCGGGGCCAGAAAAAGGTCCACTTTGGCCAGCTTTATATATTGAGCATCTCCATAAACCGATTTTGCAGCCACAGAGGTGTTGCTAGGGAATGCATCGAAACATAATTGTTAAACTCTATGACTCTATAGTAGACAAGTATTCAAATCGTAAGGTCATCGGATCAATGGGACGATCACCGGATCTTTTACCTATGGTCAACAGAAGAGCTATTAAGTTTGAATGGCCATGAAGGGCAGATGATTTGGAGAACGAGAACCAACAATGCCAGGGTTAACCATACCCGATTACTTTGTCTTGGCTAGCTAGAACCATTTCGAGGGGTTGGGAATGTTGGTGTCTTGTCGGTTAAACAATTGCACAAGTTGCGCACGCGAGGAACAGGTGTGAGGGAAGCTAACGTGCGCCTACAGACCACTCAGATGCATTTGTCAACCCAACTGCTCCTCCCTACCACTCTCTGCACACTGGCCCATAATGTCCCTGGTACTGTATACAGTAACCAATGTCTTCTTGTCTGTTACGGGAATAAACTGAAGGTACTCCAAAATTGACCAGTGGAGTGGTTCCCATAGAATATAACAAACCATGCCTCTCTTATCTTAAACAAAGTGATCTGATGCACGATACTTATAAAAATGTTTTCCAGAAAAATATTAAAAAGATGCTCTTAAAATTTTTATTTATTCTTAACATTAAGATATCAAGACAATAATTGATGTTTTTCAAGGAAAAAAATAGTTTGAGACACGAATTGGAAACGGAACAAACACACCAAGAGACAGGAACAAGAGATAGAGCCGGACTAATTTAAAAAGAAACACCATCTTATCAAACTTCACAACACACCGGTTAAAAAAAAAAAAAAAAAAAACAGTACTGAGAAACCTATATCTCAACCCGACCCGTTCCTCTAATCTAAAGACCATGACACTAGAGAATGCTGTCAAAAGCCACTAACTCCACCATAACATAAAATTTCCAAGTCAATACACCAAACTTATTTTATTCTTTCTACATTCTCTTTCATTACATTATGGAACAGCTGCTGGTGTTCTCATCGCTTAACATTTCGGTTGATGCAGCAGAGTGATCACCATTGTAATTAGGTTGTTCAGTGTAGGGGTCAGGGTAAGGGTAAGGGCAAGGGTAAGGGGCAGGACTGTAATTATAGTAATAGCCAGTGGTAGGTGGATTATAAGGAGACCTGTGATACATCATCTGGGGGGGTGGTTGCGAGACATTCCTATGTTGCATGTTCATCATCAATGCTGCTGCTGTCGGATTGTTGTGCCCATTCATGTTCATCGATGATGGATACTGACCCGTGGCATATCCACCAGTAGGGAATCCTGCATTATTGTTGGATTGAACTTGTAAACCTCCTAGACCATTGGGATTACCTCCTAATGCAGCAATGGCAGCAGCAGCAGCAGCATTGCTAACATTAGCACCATTTCCATGAAAACCTGGAAGGTTGATCATGGCATCCATGTCATTTCCCCTTTGGAACTCCCCAGCACTGATACTTCTGCCACCTAATTGGGCATTTTTCATTTGCAACGCTGCCATGGCTTTTTGATCTATCCCCCCACCTGGATTGACCTTCATTCCTATATTCTGATTTGGGTTTCCTTTATTTCCAGCATTCCCATTTACAAGATTGTTCATCTTATTACCGTTGTTGGAAGTTGCAGCAATGGCACCAACACCTTTCTTTGCATTGTTTGCGTGCATGGCTTGCTGCCTGAGAAGAGCCAGTTGGTTTGGCCCGAGAAACATGAGGTCATCCCCATCCTCTTCTTCATCATCTAGATAGTCATCATCTTCTTCAGCGCAGAATGCAGGGAATTTCGGCTGGTTCTTGAAGGCCTCAAGGCCCTTGACCGAGCCTGGCTTTTGACTTTTAATGTTCCCGTCGCAGTTATTCTTTTGCTTTTGCGTTTGGTTGGACTTTTGGAACCAAACCTCAGCATGCTTACCGGCTCTGACTAGTTTCTTAATCAAAGTTGCAGAATCTACAGTTCCTGATATCGTAACTTTATGTTGCTCAGCATCTATGTTTACTTGGTAAACTCCTGTACAAGAGAGTTTTAGGGAAGGGGAAACAGGAGAAAATTTTAGAAGTTGGACCAGCCACAAGAAATTCACCAAACCTAAGTCAACCTTCTGTTTTCTACAAAAAAATCCAAGTCACCTTATCTTTCTAATGTGCGAATATCTCAAACTCCGTGGCTACGGAAAAGCCTAAAAGAATGGTCATTCCTCATGTGGAGCTACAGTTGATAAATCCAGATAATTAATCATTACATTTTACAATTTCTGCGGGAATTATACATTTGACTCATTACCCCCATCTTAACCCAAAAAAAGAAAAAAAAATGTCAGAAAGACCAAGAGTAACTCAATTTAAGGAAAATCAATAAAGCCACATGATAAAACATAATCATTAATCTATTCTTGACAAGGAAAAGAGTAGAGCACGGCCACTAGCAAAATTGTAGGGTTATAATTTTAGCCTTTTTAATTCCCATTTCATTCGTTCATAGTGCTCTGTTTTTCAAGAGGAATCCACCTCCAAAATCCAAGCAAAACTATTCCTCTTTTGCTAGCAATTTATTAGCAAAAAGACTGCACTGTAAAAATGAAAAAAGAGCAAGCTAAGCAGTCCAGAATTCCACATCAACAAGGAAGAGGGTAAGAATATTGCAATATAGATTTTTTTATTAAAAAAAAAAAGACGATGAGAAAGTCAGAACCTTCAATCCTCTGAAGAAGTTTCTTTACTTTCTGCTTACACCCATCACAGTGCATGTTCACTTTAAGAACACAAGTCTGCACATAAAAAAAAAACACAAAAAAAGAAAACAAACAACAAAAATGAGAAGGAAGATACTTGAGGAAAAGGGCCGCCACAAAACTTTGCAGCAGATATGGAAAAAACAACGAAAAAAATGGAGTTAAAAAAAGGACAGAAAGAATGTGGCCAAGAGAGGGAGAGGGAGAGACCTGTATCTTGAGTAGCTTAAAGTCATCTTCTTTAGTCATCCCTTCAGAACTTTTTGTAATGGAAAGAGGCACAAAAGACTCAGCTAAAAGAGAGGAGGAGAAATAAAAAAAACAGTTAGCACATTTTGTTCTATCTATAGATGAGCTTGTGAGAGTAAAAGGTTATAGGGTTCAAGCAGCACAGCCACTTATAGATAAATAGATAGAGAACGCAGATTCTTCATTTCTTACTTCTTTTCCCTTCTCTTCTTCTGCTTCTCAAAAGCAAACAAAACAAAAGCACATGGGTGTTGTTTTAGCTTCCTCAAACTTTAGTATCCGTTAGGTACAGGTTTCAAAGAGTTTCTTTTTTAATAAATTAATTTTTTTAGTATTTGTAAATTATTTTAGTGTGTTATATTAAAAAATATATTTTTAACTGAACATCATCATTTTTAAAAGGTCAAAAACATCCTCTGAATATCCCCTTAATAAATAATAATAATAATTTAAATTTAAATAAACAACCAGCAACACAGAAACCAATGCCAGCTGCCAGGACAAGCACAGAGAAAAGGCGAACATCCAGTCAGAGAGCGGGAGGTAAAGTCAAAAGAGGGGAGGGGAGGGACATAAACATACTGCAGCAGCAGTAGTCGACGGAGGGAGTTAAAATTGGGGGAGTTAAAAAAATCAATTATATTTTGTTTTAAAATATATTAAGATAATATTTTTTATTTTAAAAATTTTATTTAAAATATTGAAAAATTGAGATAATTCATGAACATGAAAAAATTTAATTTAAAATTAAAAGATTTAAAAATACGGTTGTACTGTAGCACCACACAACAGCAGCGAAGAGGGATGATGCTCTCTGCGCTGTGAAATCTGAGGTGATGTGATTTAACGTTAAATACTGAAGGAGAGAATACAATAAAAGAACAGCGAATTGACAGGCCGACTTCTATCCCTATCCAGCTTGTCACAAGTATTGATTTTTTTCTCGCGAAAACAAGAACACGGACACTAGTAAGGTACTGATTGGATGTTTTGAAATAAAGTTCAAAACTGGTTGATTTACAAACGAGCAAAGAGACGATGGAGTCAATCCTTTTGATTCTTGGACCCAACACCAACGGGTTATTACGTTTATTATTTTTCAAAATATTTTTTATATTAAAATAATATTTTTTTTATTTTAAAAAAAATTATTTTTAAAATCAACAAATTAAAAAAAATTAAAATACATAAAAAAATTATTTTTTAACAAAAAATTTTAAATTTTAAAAACATATAATTTACACCATATTTTCAAATAATTTATTAACATTAATGACTTCATGTATTTTTAAGACTACATTGTGTTAACAATTATTCTTTGAATTATTTTTTATTTTAAAATATATTAAAATAATATATTTATATTTTTAAAAAATTATTTTTGTTATTAATATATTAAAATAACTTTAAAATATCAAAAATATATTAATTTAAAATAAAAATAAAAATAAAAATTATTTTTTTCAGAAACACTTATTAAACAAGATGTCAAATACATCCTTGGAGGGCACGGTGATATCCTTCTTGCTAAGTAGACACAGTTTGTTTTTATTTTTATGTTTATTTTAGTGTTTTAATATTATTTTAATTTATATATATTGAAAATAAAAATTCTATTTTAATATATTTTTAAATAAATTTTATGTTTTAAAAGTATTTCTTCAGCTCTTCGTTTGCTAGATTATTAAAATTCAGTTTCAATCAATAAAAAAATACTAATTTGATATTTTTTAGAATTGAAATAAGAATTCAGTCATTTAGATTTTTATTGAAGAATATGATAGAAATTATATTTTAAGATATTTTTTATTTGAAAACATATTAAAATAATTTTTTATTTTTTAAAATTAATTTTAATGTTAACATATTAAAATGATAAAAAAATCATTGATAAAAATAATTTTTTCAAAAATAACAAAATATATATTCAACAGAAAAACTAAACAAACCCTAAATATATCCACGTGGTCGAGACATGTCAGAAAACGCAAGAGATTAGGATCATGCCCCGTTGAAAAATTGAAGTCTGACTTGAATATATTCACCTGGTATCACTGATAATTTTCTTTCTTTTTTCTATCTTCGTTGTTTTATATTTATCTCGCTTGGATTTTAAAATTTTTGAAATTTTAAGTCTGTATTGTTGATCATTTATTATCTTGAAATTTTGAAATTCTAGATAATTACAAACATGCTTTTTAAGGGATGGAATCTACCACATTAGAGAGCAATACATATCACTCTAATAAAAGTTTATTAAAGAGTTTAAATTTTTAAATTATAATAATTTTTTAATGTAATACTATAGACTTAATAATCAAATGGTTATTTATTTGAATACTACTATCTTTATTTTCTCTAGCAAAATCAAGTAAAAACTATAAATAAATCTATATAAATTTAAAATCTAGAGTGGTTTTTATTTAACTGAAAAATATTTCTTGAATTTATTTTATAATTTAAATT